AAAAAAAAAAAAAAAAAAAGAAAAGAAAAAAGAGGGGAGTCAATGGTTTTTGTTCTGAGCAACTGGAAAATAAGTGGTCATTTCCTGAAAGGGGAAGACTGCGTGAGGAACAGGCTGGGGTGTGGGGCAGATTATCAGGAGCTAAGGTTTGGGTCTCTTGCTTTTGAGGTTGCTCTTCAATGTCACAGTGAGGGCTGTCCTCAGTTCCTTCACAGCCTGGCAGGAAGGAGACACAGATCAGCGCCAATCTGGGAGTCAGAGACCTGGGGTCAATTCGTTGCCCGCCTTTGGCACCTCAGAAAACTCCCTTCACCTCTCTGAGCCTGTTTCCTCATGTGGAGGATGGTTACAGTTGATTAGGTGACTCTGTAAGGCCACCTCTAGCATCTCGACATGTTAAGATTCCAAGATTTTGTTTTCTCATGAGTGACATTCCCTGTTAGCAGGGACACAAAGAGCCCCTCTTCATTGACCCTGTCAGTCAGATGTCATCTTCTCACAGAAAAGAAGTTCCTCAACAATGAGGAGCCTGCTGGGTCTCACTGAACTCCTTGTTCATATTTCCTAAAGAAAGGCAGGGCCTTCTTACTCTAAAATCTATTAAGATTCACCACTAGCCCCATGTCCCTGCTTGAGCTGGCTAGTTAATTAACTGCCCACTTCAATTCATTTGTGTTACTTAATGGAAAGACTTTTCCATCTTCTAAAGGAACAGAAAGCACCTTCAGAGGTTTTTTTCTCTGATACTAGAATACCCAGCTAAACCACAGTATAAATTAAAAGATGTAACAGTTTCAACACACAGCAGTAGTCTCTCTGAATGGGAAGGCTAGGTATGTCAGACCTGTGTAATGCCAGCAATGCAAAAGATGATGGAATATAACAACGCCAAAGAATTTAAAGCAGACTAAGGTATAAAAGCTCAGTGAGTGAAATCAAGCCTGCAGTTTTCCCCAGAGAGAGACCTAGGATTAGAGGAGAAAAGTCACCTCCACCCTGAAGGTCAGTCTGACAATCCATTGGTAAAGCAGAGCATAAAGACCCTGAAACCTTGGCTCTAAGACTTGCTGCCTGGCTACTGGAAGAAAAAGGGAGAAGGTCCAGTTTGGGGATCACCATCTGGGCTCCAGGAGAGGATGGGTAAATGTGGAGGAGAAAGATGCCTCTTGCCCTCTTTGCTCTGGAGAGACACATTTCCTAGGACAAGGGTACATTGAAATACACGAGAAGTCATGGTTCCCAAAGTCATCCTAACCTCCAATTCAGACTTCTCTTTAGAGCCCTGTGGGGAAGAAATTTGAAGTGGATGGAGATTAGGATGACTTTGGGCACCATGACTTCTCGTGTTTTGCAGCTGCATGTCCCCTTGCCCTAGGTAATGCCTCTGTCCAGACACATGTATTGGAATTGAATGTGTCTCACCTTCCCTCTTCATGCCCATGACAAGGCACTTCTGATAGCGACAGTACTGGCAGCGGTTGCGCTGACGCTTGTCAATCAGGCAATCTTTATTATCCCGACATGTGTAGATGAGGTCCTTCCTTATCGTCCTTTTGAAGAACCCTTTGCAGCCTTCACAACTGTACACCCCGTAGTGCTTTCCTGGTTACGAGAAAAGAACATTCCATAGATTGTTCTTGTGTTTATTTGGATCTTTCATTCAAAAGAACCTCTTGGCTCTTCCCCAGAGAAACAGGCACATCACTTGGGCATTGGGACAGAAAGCAAATAACAACTAGCAGAGAATGCAGGCTTGATCACAGGAACCAAACTAAGACAGAGCAAATACACCTTTCCTTGTGTGTTTCTTCTGTATTACTAATTCCAGATAGCATTATTAGAAAATTCCTAAGGCTAAGACTTTCTTTACATTTATTTTATGAAGGCAACTCTTGGGTTTAGTTAAGCAAATGCTCTGCCTTCATTCAAAACGTTAGTGTAAATAATAAATAAAAACATATATGCTTGTCACATATTACCTAGCGGGAAAAGAACCCCAACTTAACTGATATTTCCTATCATTGAAACCCAAGTTCTTAGGAAAGCCATTTAAATGTATTGTCCTTTACCATAAACTATGAACAGAATTCTGAGTTATGAATTTTTAAGTGCTATTGCCTGTTGAGGAAATTAATTTGTGGTTTATCTTTATATCATTTGACAATCAAGCTATGACATAAAGATCTGATAGAAGGTGATTTTTCAGCCGGGCATGGTGGCTCACACCTGTAATCCCAGCACTTTGGGAGGCCGAGGAGAGCAGATCACTTGAGGTCAGGAGTTAGAGACCTGCCTGGCTGACATGGTAAAACCCAGTCGAAAGAAAGAAAGAGAAAGAGAGAAGGAAAGAAAGGAAAGAAAGAAAGAAGGAAGGAAGGAAGGAAGGAAAGAGGAAGGAAGGAAGGAAGGAAGGAAGGAAGGAAGGAAGGAAGG